ATATTTCATCAATAATATTTTTTAAAAATAAATAATCAAATATCAAAATAACTTTCAACCACAGTTTTAATAAAATTTACCATATTTCATCAATAATATTTTTAAAAAATAAATAATTAAATATCAAAATAATTTTCAACCACAGTTATAATACAGTATATCATAATTTACTACAACCATAACTATAATTACAATACTTTATAACAATTCCAAATGATCAAATGCTTACGGTCTTACAGGGTTAACGCCTTTTTCCTTTGTGATCAGGCTTAAGCTATTTTTTGGTAATGAAGACGAATTTCTTTCACTATCAAATAACAAGGTTACAAGCCAGAAGCGAGTGAATACCCAGCATTGTCTTACTGTCACCAATCTCACCTAGTGTTCGTTAAGATTTTATATTGTATAATTAGTCTAATATCATAAGTGCTATAGAGAAATCCAGTAACTTGATATTACCATCAATTTTTAGGGATAGTAACATATTAGTTCTGATTTTTAAATAAAATTAAAGTTTTAAATTTAAACTAAGTTATTTTATTTAATTAAAATTCAATTCAAAATTTAAAAAATTATTTTATTAAATGTTAATATTTATATTTAAAATTTAATTATATTAAAATATATAATGTGTTTTTAAATCTAAATATCAATATTTAATAAGATAAAATTTTAATTTTTAAATATAAATTAAAAGCTTAATTATTTTTAGGAGTTACGCACTAATTTTAAGTTTTTATTATAATAAATCTTTAAAAAATTACTATTCCACGTCCCTAATGGAATATAGATTCACTAACACCTTAACATAAAAGGAAATAATATTTAGAATAATAAAATTTCGTATTTCCTTCATTAACTTCATTTTTCGCACCCTATTTGATATTAAATGGAATCTCTTAATACGTAAAACTTGTATTCAGGATTCTCAAGATTTGCCGAGCCTGCCCTTCGAGTCAAGTGGCTCTAATCACGTTTGTAAGGTTCATATCCCTTCCCTA